TATTTAGTGTGGTAATGGTATTCAACTGAGATACGCTTACGATGTGTTATTTTTCATAGAATTATATAAGAAAAAAATTTGTCGCATCTACATCGTATCTTCATCGCACCTTCATCGTACTTATTTATGGTCTAAAAGTATGGATCTAAATATAGGAACATCTTCGCATATCTCAGATTTGCACATTTCGGAATGATGATCCCAAATGAAACACCCCTTATCATCACACACAAAAATTAATTATCAGAAAAAAATGACCATTTAGGTCTGATTGCTTTATTAATACAATATAACAGAGCTAGTGTTAAAACACATATTTTTTAACTAGATTCAGTAATGCATTTGCTGTTCCCTTAGTAGTAATAATATCACTAATTGCTTCGGGTGATAAGCGTATTATACCTGATCTTAATTTTTTAAACATTTATACACAGAAAAAAAAAAGTTACGCCAATATCAATACAGTTATATTTCATTTTTTTTAATTCGAAGGTTAATATTGTGTTATGGTTTAATATAATAATAATTCACAAATTCAAAGGTTATGTACTTATCTCAGGTAAAATTTGATTAAATTGAGCATGGATTTCTTCCCATTCTTTCATAAGATCATCAAGCCATGCAGTACTTAAACCACTCTTTAGTATACTGCGACATAATTATACCTGCCACCCAAATTCAAAATCCAAATGCCGAAATCCCAAATGCCGAAATCCCAAATCCCAAATCCCAAATTATGATTAGTATTTTTTGCCAAAATCCCAAATCCCAAATCCCAAATACTAGTAATTTGGAATTTTGGCATCCCAAATCCCAAATGATTTGGGATTTGGGCAACACGTATAGACATAATAACTCTTCACCGACCAGCCTATTCCGATCTGTTAAAAATTTATGATATTTTCTGGTATCTTCATTCCTTTTTATTCCTCCACGATAAAGGCGTATATTTCTTTTCAAGTCAGCAGGAAAACACTCCATGGCCCATTTATTTTTCTCAGCCTCAGTAATAACTGAAAATTTCTTGAGATCAATTTTATACTTGATGGCATATTGATAAAGGCAGGTTTTGTTTGGATGAATTGGTGAGTTACTGATTTTGTTTGATACCCTTACTTGAGTTTTCGATAAGCTCTGTATGGCAATTATAACTTTCTTTTGATTAATACGAAATGGACAATTAAGAAAATAGTGATCATTTTTACCTAAACAACTCCAGTCGCCCCATATTCCTAAACGAGTGTGTACTTCTTTGCATATTGGACATTTAGCTTCTGAATCTGTATATTTAAATACGTCTCGATATCACACATTAGAATTGGTATATGTCAAGAAAGGAAAGTGTTTATGTACTGCATCATGGATTACACTTTTTTCTTCTGGAAACTTGGAAATTTTGATAATACAGTCTTGCGAAAGATAATTATCAGCATTTTCGATTTGTTTAGATTCAGAAGTTTCAGAGTTTATCCAGGGATCAAGCCCAGTTTTATTCTTATATCTATTATAGAATCTAGAATGAGTTTTATCTGACAAAATGCTTGGTAATTCTAATTTGGCTTCCCACTCTAAATATTCGGGAGTTAATGTATTCATATTGCTGTTTTATATGACTTCGCATCTCTTTAAATTGGTAATAACCGACAAAAAAATAATATACAGCAAGCTCGTGTCCAGATTAATATAGTTAGCTTCGAATGATGCAATCACGAGAAGGCAGGTTTATGCTGTTATCTCAATTTTAATTCCACGCTGTTCACATTTAATAAAATAGTATTCATTTTTATATCTGCCTTCTATACCTTTATCCTCATAATGATCTGACTTGCATAGCGGACATAAAGAGTCATCCGTGATCCCATAATAATCATTGTTTCCATCTCTGCCTTTCCAAAATAAATCAGGATATTGTTCTGCCATTTTATTATGGAAATTGGCACAGTTATGAGCCAAATTGGATGGAGTATTTACCTTAGTCTTTGGTAAAGATTTATCTTCCTCACCTAAAAACTCGTCTTCATCATCCTCACTACCATTAGAGTTAGAATCTGAAAAGCCATCAAATACATTTATGATTTCTGAAAATTAATTCTCATTTACTATATCTTCCAAATTAGAGATTTGAGATGATGAAATAGAGGGAGTGGTTGTAATACTTACCTCGGTTTCTGGTAAAGTTTTCTCGGTCACGTGCGCATTACAATTTGTAACGCCGATCATTTTTTGGCATTTAACCGAAGAGTCATCTATGCTAATAGGAAAACAAATTATAATATCTTGAATCTGATTGTCAGTTAAACTTGAGATTGCACTTGCACTACATGTTATTGCTTGGATTTTTTCTATTCCTATTCCCACAAGTAACGTATAAATCTTTTT